ACCTTGAAATGCTTCTTACGAAGCCACTCCTTCGTTGCCCGGGCGGTGTGTTTGGGATCATTGTCATGCTGAAAGACCCAGCCACGTTTCATCTTCAATGCCCTTGCTGATGGAAGGAGGTTGTCACTCAAAATCTCACGATACATGGCCCCATTCATTCTTTCCTTTACACGGATCAGTCGTCCTGGTCCCTTTGCAGAAAAACAGTCCCAAAGCATGATGTTTCCACCCCCATGTTTCACAGTAGCTATGGTGTTCTTTGGATGCAACTCAGCATTCTTTCTCCTCCAAACACGTCTAGTTGAGTTTTTACCAAAAAGTTCTATTTTGGTTTCATCTGATATGACATTCTCCCAATCCTCTTCTGGATCGTCTAAATGCTCTCTAGCAAACTTCAGACGGGCCTGGACATGTACTGGCTTAAGCAGGGGGACACGTCTGGCACTGCAGGATTTGAGTCCCTGGCGGCGTAGTCTGTTACTGACGGTAGCCTTTGTTACTTTGGTCCCAGCTCTCTGCAGGTCATTGACTAGGTCCCCCCGTGTGGTTCTGGGATTTTTGCTCACCGTTCTTGTGATCATTTTGACTCAACGGGGTGAGATCTTGCGTGGAGCCCCAGATCGAGGGAGATTATCAGTGGTCTTGTATGTCTTCCATTTTCTAATAATTGCTCCCACAGTTAATTTCTTCACACCAAGCTGCTTACCTATTGCAGATTCAGTCTTCCCAGCCTGGTGCAGGTCTACAATTTTGTTTCTGGTGTCCTTTGACAGCTCTTTGATCTTGGTCTCATTTTGTCTCTCATAGTTGAGCTATACCTAGGATGAAAATTACAGGCCTCTCTCATCTTTTTAAGTGGGAGAACTTGCACAATTGGTGGCTGACTAAATATATTTTTTTGCCCCACTGTATATCATTACATGTCTTATTAAATACTTGATTGAACACAGGTCTACGCCCAGTCATATTACCTCCCTGCTAAATTGACTTTATCATATGAGACCAGAGAAACAAATGTGTTTTGCGTGTGTTACTCCTTCAGAATATTTTGGAATATTAATTCACGTAATGAGTGGGATAATGTGCTGTGAGCAGGCCATCATTGCAAAAGGATTAGAGTGATTCATGTACTGTTCACACTGTCTGGGTCCCTTTCGCAATAACGACCAGCTCACTGCATATATGCCTTATGTATATATAGATAAGAACCCTGATGTGTGAGAGCAGCATGCAGTGCAGGCCCTTGTCTGCTGTGTGGATGAGAGAGGTGTGGACATGTTTGAACTAAGAGGGTGTCGCCCTCTTTAAGTGTTAGCCACATCCAGTTTTTTCTGTAATGAATCGTTATTGATCATTTGTGGGTTTTTCAGGACAAAGACTTTGGAAAGCAGGCTCTGTATCAGGTTCACAGTAACCCGGCTGCAGAGGTCAGCAGCAGCCTGAAACATTACCAGCAGCACAGTCTGGAGCGAGCGTACACAGGAAAGGACTTCTTCTGGGCATTAACACCCATCAAGAACGACTACATCCTCTTCAACTTCACCCAGCCCATCAACATTACCAGGTCAGTTTAAAAGCACACCTGTGTTAACCTGTTTCAACATACAGTTACACCCGGGAAAAAACTCCAACAGCATTCCATTGTTCACAGATGATATCCTTCTACACAGCCAGTCTAAACAAAAATCTCTACTCCACTAATATTTTGTTGGACCGCCTTCAGCTTTATCGGTCCAACTAAATTCATTCGTCGTATCGATAAGCTGCTGCAATGTCTAAAAATCTATTTCTGTTCAGAATTGCAATAATTTTCCGCCAAGATCTTGTACTGAAGCCCCCATCATTCTGGAACAGGATACATCTGGATTCATTGATTTGGTTTTAGTAATGCGTTTGACAGTTCTTAACCCGATTAGTAGCTTCAGCAATCTCTAGTTGTTTTTCTTTGCTTGATGCAGGCCAATAATTTGACCCTTCTGAGACTGATTGACATCCTTTCCAGGACCACAGGATATGTCTTCTGACATGGTTGTTTAAGAAATGAGAAGCTACTCACATCATCAGCTAGGGCTAAATAACTTGTTGCCAGCTGAAACATATTCATCACAGCAGTAATTATCCAATGGAAGGCTCTTACAGATTGGCTTAGTTAAATCCAGTTGGTGATTTATGACTTGGATAACTTCCTGTTTACCCTGTCTTTACAAGGCTTTATGATTTATGAAATTAAAATACAACAACTAAGAAATCTATTGGCAACAACAATGTCATGCAAGCTTGTGGGTTAAATAACACTCCGAAGAAGAAAAAACTGGAATAGCCATACTGTATGCACTCAAGATATCTGAATGAAAATGTGTTCTATGGATATCCACGACTCTCCTCTTTACAAACCTGCTCATTTTATATTCAAATCAGTTTGAGGCAAAACTAATGCAGGTTTTTGCATGCTGTGTGCTATTTTCTCTTCATTTTTAAAAGTTGTGTTTTAAATGTTTCTGCATACTCTGGTCCCTCCACTGCCTAGGAATTGGACAATTTGGGTACGACTGTAAAGCTGGGACTCCAATAAACCCAATTATATTTGATGCTTCACCAAAAACCAAAATCCTCCTCATGGTCTTTGGGAAAGAGTCATTGAGGTTTCCGGGCCTGAGCACATTGATGGACAAGGCAAACATGACTGGACCCACATGTTGTTATTTCAATGAATTTGAACTCTATTCAACTTTTGAATTACCTAATGTTGCTTCAAAACACACCCACTTAACACACATACAGCCAGTGTTCTCAGTGTTGTGTGGTTTAGTGCCGTGTGAAAACAGAATGTGTGAACGTACATGTTATAACACATTAAACTCAGGGGAATCACTCCTCAGTTTGTACTGTTTGTTTTTCAAATCATTTATCATCAAGTTGAAAACAAGTGATAATGCATCCGAACAACCAAACGGACCACATACAAACCTCAGGGAGAGCAACAGAGGAGGGATCCCTCTCCCAGGACGGACAGACGTGCAATAGATGCCGTGTGCTAATCGAAGAGATAATACATTTTACAGCGTAGGTAGACCAAATGTTTGGAAAGACCAAATGTTTGGAAATGCATGTGTCTATAATAAGAAGATGAATCCACGAGGATGTCAACAATCCACAATGTTCTACCGGCATTCTGCCGGTAGAGCATTGCATTCTGCCATTCTGCCGGTAGAACAGGTCAACTCAGCAGGACACAGTACAGAGAATAATTACAGAGAGCAGGGGTTATTAATGTGCAGGTGTGTCTGAAACAAACAGTAACACATTGCTGCTGCTCTGGCAGAGATAACGGTGTGCATTTTATTAGTAGTAGATCAGCGAACATAACTTCCATCAGAGGTCTTTGCAGTGACTGTCAGCTGATCCAGATGCTTCAGCCGTCTTCACAAACAGAAGTCGCTAAACGTGGCGCTCCGAGGAAAGGACTCTTAAAACACATTTCCTTGCGTCCTCTCCCTTTGTAAGCGAGGGAAGCGGGGATGAAAGTTAATCGACTAGTTATGCAGGGTTGGACACTATCCTCCAAAGATGGCCGCTACGCCCCAGAATGCACCGCGGTTCCCATTCCCTATAGCAGGGCTTCTCAAACTCCGGACCGAACGGCAAATCAATCCGGACCGAACCCTGTGTCCCATTAAGAAAAAATAAAAAAGATTCTGATGTAAATTAATGTATATTTTCTTGTGTCTGACGCTTTTTGAGAATGAACGTGCATATATATTTACTTGTGTGCGCGAGCGTGACACACATTGCAGACCGCAAGTTTACCTTGACTTCCTAATGCTTCTAATGCCTTTTTTACCGAGGTTCAAGGCATTGGCTACAGACAAACAGTGCCATTTCTCCCACTAGTTCAAGCCATCATACTGTATGTATTGTGTGTGTGTGTGTGTGTGTGTGTGTGTGTATAGGGCCGCCGTTTACCGACAGGCAAGTGCTTGGACCAGAAG